GCCGTCGATGCCTTAAGTCCTTTTGTACTTGGGGGGAGTGGGCCAATGCTGTGCATGGCTGGTTACGAGTCCTGAGCTGGGCATAAGATACTCCCTATTTTACACTGTATATCATAGAGCTGACACAAATATTCCTATCTTTCTTGAAGTATCATTTGAATTTCACTAGACCGCTCGGGATCATCTTGTATATTCCTTGATTTGCTATAGAGCTCTGAATATATTATGGATTTCCCGCATTTTTCACAATTTTTCTGGCCCTTCTACAGCCTGCAATCAATTCCAGATACCAATGATGTAATGGCTCTGCAGATCGGGTGAACCTGCAGAGAGCCTATGTCATAGAAGGCAGGAGCCAATCAGAGTCCAGGAATCCAAACCGACGCGGCCCGCACCTCAGCCACTGACTACAAGCCACTACAATAGTCAATTCCCACGATAAGCAATAAAAGTAAAACCGCCATGCGGACTAGGACAAGACACACAGTCGATAAATTCACCAAAATATTTTTGTAGACCCGTATAGCATACGCCCAGGACTAGAGAAAATAAAAGAGAGATAAGACGAAGAAATGAGCCCACAAGCGAGCAAATAATGGTCACAGAGACTACAAAAACGCGCCAAAAGTGGTTTTGTAGTCTCACATACAAACGGACTTTCAACCGGAGTTTCAAAAGTGTAGTCTACAATACAAACTATAACTCCCACAACTTCTCGGCACAAAAGGTTCTCACGGGGTACAACGTTCGGCACGCAGGCATATTTTGCGCGTAAGGACTCGTCCTTCGTACCTCAGGACTCGTAACTGTCCTGCCCCACGCCCACCAGTTCGACTGAGGTATCGATAATGCCGCTAAGCCTACTAGTACTAGTACTACAGTCTAAGCAAGGACCATTAATTGGAGCACGTGCCCTGGCAAGGTCACGCGTTGTCGCCTTGACCACTCGACAAACCCCGACAAACCGTCTTGACGGCTTGACGGGGTCACCGAGACAAGGGGTCAAGGCTTGACCCTGCCAACACTGTCTACGTCGCGTCAATCGACGTTCATCGACAGATAACACGGTAGCTAGATTAGGCAACTCGAGCTGTAGCTCGAGCGGTCCGTAGCCGCGGAGAGCCGCTCCATCAACGGCTACGAGCCGACACAAGAATAAAGGTGCCGCTCTCATTGGCTCGCAAATTCTGGCTCGAGCCGCTGTTCGGTCCGGCACGGCACGCCGGCTCGAGCCGTGCCGTGGCAACACTAGAAATCAGGCCATCTGGACTTCCCTACCTTCTTCCGACGTCCCTGGCACCCACTCCGACCCACTCCGACTATACGTGGTTCTCTGAATTGATGGTCTATCGATCTGCAAGCGGCTGTAACACCACTAGTGCAGACAAGGCGACAGTAGGCAATACCCCGGCAGTGCTTCCTCGATATAATGGTAGCTTGGAACGAAGCGGGCTCTGACAGCAGGCCATGGCTTTGCCGGAATATCTCTTGACAGTGACGAGCCTGTTCTTGCCACAGTCCTGTTCTCCGGATCCACTTCCTCAACATCCGTATGCTACTGTGCTTGTTTCTGTTAGCTTTAGATAGGTTCTTCAGTATACATAGCCCACGTTTCTGGGGAAGCGCCAAGCATATTAATAGCATGATTCTTTATATGCTCAAGTTTTGTGCCAGTGTCACCAAACAAGACCTTCGCGCGTTCACGAAAGCAGCCTGGTGCCTACGATATTATAACATCATTCATAAGACAGAAAAGAGACCGGGCTCAGTTTGCCTACGAAAGCAGGGAGGACTCGCACAGGGCGAAGCTGCACTAGCAAGATAGATCCAACACTTACCTGACGGGTATTTTAAGAAGGGCAGCGATATCAAAATCTTACCGCCCATCCACATAGGCAAAGGCATCGAGCTTCCTGTGTATAAATAGAGGGATGCCACGTCAGATAATACAGACGCCCAGACTGCCTAGGGTGAGCGATAATCTCTGTGGTGAACCGTGCACCGATTCAAGCCGGAGGAATCCGTTTTTTAGGCAACGCAAGGCAACCCGGGATGGTCTATATGCTCGATGGTCTGAGGTTTGAGGAGATCAGGCCTTGCCATTGTACAGCACTTCCAGCGATAGAGAGTGTCATTTACCGCCGCTCGACGTAGGAAACGACATGACGCCCAAAATATGACTTCCTGTAGAATCATGTCCACTGCACCCTAAACACACTAAGGCAAAGCCAACCATCTAGCGACCAACTGAGGGAAGTCAGGTGTGCCAAGACCGGTTACTGGGTCCCAACCAGCCGTGGCATTGAACCCGATAGTGCCACATCCAGGGTTGCTGCCAGTAGTTATGTCGTGAAATGCGCCGGTAAAGGCGGGTGAGTATATCTGTTGAGCAGGTTGTTCCAGAGAGTCAGGTAAGTCGAAAAGGATCGTAGAAAGCACACGAACGGTAGGGTTGATGAAACCTATCGGGCTCTTGCCAGCAGCTAGGCGGGCATCGTTGACTAGCGTCAAGATGGAGCCAGTCACCGGAGAGGAAGCTGACGTTCCGAAGACAAGCTCGAACTCTCCATCAATGGCAACAACGTAGTTGGCACTACTTGACCCATTAGACGAGGCACGCGATAATAAATAAAGACACTGACCCATTTGCGGCGACGTCGGGGAAGCCTCTAGACTGTTAACAAAGACAGGCGAAGGTCAGAAACAACTCCGTCATTTGCAATTACATCGAACATTACCTTGCCCGTAGCGTTGTATTGGCTGGCGGTGTAAGGTGGCGGGTAGGCGGTAAGGTAGTGCTCAACTGCGGCTGCCTGGTACGATGGCATCGCGAAGTAGTTGCTGAAACCCCCACCGCTGTAGATAACCTGCATGCAGGCGCTCTCTGGCTCCGCAACGCTGGCACCCGGATTCACTTGGGTGGCCCCGACAGACGTGACGTACGGGCAGGTCCCGGGGAAACTTGGGTTGAACATGGTACCATTAGCGGTCTGAGAACCTGGTGGAGAATAGAATCGTAGCGTTGCATCAAGATGACTGCGCAGAACTAGTGCACGCTCTCGTACCGTCAGAATTTAGGCAGAGATCGCCATTCCCAGCTACTCCATCGTCACCAGAGCTATATAAAACCGTGGTGCCCATCAACCCGAGTTTAGCGTACTCAGCACATTGCCGTGCTGCGTACGCCGGGGAGAGATCAGCTTCATTATAGCCGTAGGACGTCGAGATGACATAGGCGGGGGTGGCGGTACCACAGTCTTCGGGACCTGCGGCGACATATGACGGTAAGCACTTTAGAGGCTAAGCGCAGGCACAGTGTACACACCTTCATAACCACCACCATAGGGATCCGGATAGATGGAGTCGTAGTTGGGGTCGTCCCCACCTTCGAATGTACAGTATGATCCGTCAATAGCATCAAGGAAGTTGTTGAAAGAAGCGCCTGGGCAGTTACGAAATGAGCTGAAAATATAACTCTGATGGATAAATCAATGGGACTACCTTCGACCATATCTCCAGTCTGATACAGCGTGATAGGCTGCGGATCAACCAGAGACATCGCGTACTGGAGATCCAAGTCGCTCTCGCCATTGTAATCAAAGCCTGTGTACTCGGTCTGCGCGTAACCTGAATGGAAAATCTCTCTTGAGGACATTATTTCGTCTATATTCCCGATATTCTTACCTCCATCGATGGACACCATTTTAGGGGAAGACCCGACAAGATTAGGGGTGAAATTGCCGAAAAACATGTTTAAATCCGTCTGCAGATACGCCTGAGGAGTGTATTCGACTAGGCTACGGTTATTGAGATCACGCGGGAGGACAACACGACAACCTACCTATCCCGTAGCTATTCTTGCTGGTAGCGACAGGCTCATAAACAATTCCATACAGGGCCCTCAAACAGATCAGAGTAATCTGTTGATCGCAAGCCTCCAACTGGTTGAGGATGCTACTGACTGTTCCCGTAGTCTTTGGCTTTAGCCCGACACCGGGCTGACCGATGTTGCGCAGCGTGTGGCCGGATGGATTGTTGTCTCTTTTGATGACGGCATCGAAGTGGATGGAGGGTAGGACCAAGTCGACATGCTTGCTGACGTGCTCGGGTAGCTGGTAGCTGTCACACGCTGTAATCCATGGCATTCAGCGCAGGAACATCGAGAAAAAGCGAACGGGAGTTACCGACGTGTTCCTTGCCGGTGAAATGCGAATAGACGTGATATTCTGTGTTCAGAAGACGCTCAGCCTCCTCAATTGTGGCATTGAGTTCTATCCATGTCCTGGCGCCGCTGAGCTTTATCCTGGAGGGCTCGATGCCGGAATCACCCAGCCACTCTCGGACGGTATCGACCGTCTCTCTGCTCGGAGCGAACGTCTGCGCGACCTTGCCAGCCGACCAGTGTTTCCCATAGTTCGCCGACTCCGGCCCAGAGACATCGAGCAGAAGCTCTTCTAGCTTGTCCATGTTACTCTGAACGAGGCCGATGCGCAACGGCAGGACCGCAGCCGAGTCATGTCGACGAGAGCGCGACCATCCTGCGGGCGTGTGCGAACGCTTCTCATGCGTGACCAGCGGAGAGACCCGAGGCTCAGCGAAAGCCACAGAGAGCAGAGCCAACGTCAAGAGCGGAAGGAACAGCATAGCTGGTCTATACTCCAGTCTAGCCGTGGGCCGGCTTTATAGGATGACTCGGGATCACTTGCCATGAGTGGGCGGATATCGTTCACATTTAGACCGTGGAAGATACTCTCACGTCTACCGATGGTAGGACGCGAAGAAGCGTTTGTCGTATCAATGTTGATCAAAGCCATGAGTAGGCGGCACTGCTTGGGTGTAATCAGTTGTGGCTGCGAATTCGATGTGACCGTATAACGCTCGGCAAGAACGGTGAAACCACAGATACACACAGAGACGAATTCATGCAGTTACATCTAGGCGAGACGACGTGCGCGACATGCGCAAGATAAGGATCCAGTCGTCAGCGATGAGACCAACGTACACCGGGAGTATTCTCGGTCGAAGACATCTCCAGGGTAAATCAGTTACACTGCCATTGGCCACAGAGTCGCAAAATGAATGCGTTCATAAGCAAGATCTATTCCGCGGAATGGGACCGGATGCAGTTCCGCCGATGCGCATGGTATCACGATATAGATAGCCACATCTCAGATCGCGTATGTGCAAGAGCTGGAGAGACGCTTTCGGAGGGACTGTCTGGTCACACGAGACAGGACAGTCTCTCCGAAGGCATAAGGGAGATTCCATTTCCAGGTTGTATCGGATAACCGACCTGCAGGATGGACCATGCGACCTCGCTTGAGTGAGAGAATTGACTTCAAAAACCGCGGGTACCAGAGAAGCCGGACTTGCAGCCAGCTGTGCTGGCTGTCCTCCAGTAGGACCTTCAAAATTTAGTTGGTAAAGGTGCAGCTTGTCGGCGTTGGTTCGACATCAGGTATGGGCGCCGGGCCGCGGCGTTCTCAAAACCGCAAGGCAGTGAACGAAAGATAATGCCAAGGCCCGTCTTAGCAGGGACGTGGCTGACAATGTAATTTGAACCCATTGGAACAACCGACAAGGCCATTCAACTTAGAAAATGCTCTCCTCTGGAGTTGGTTGTAAGAGTGGACAGCGGTGCTTTCCGCTGGGCGTACGCAGGGAAAGGTAGCCTGCCCGGAGGACCACATCGCTGGGGACCCGTACACAGCATACAAAGGAATCAAGAAATGTTGAAGATTCGGAAGAGCAAGCGACAGAATCCGCCGGAATATGCAGTGGGGTCGTCATTGGGTCGTCAGCGAGGTGATTGTGCGAAGGTTTCTTCCGGAGCGACGGCGACGTACCATCGTCCGCAATTGCCTACAATCCTAGTTACGCGTTCTGAGCTTCGAAATGTTCTTCGACCTGAATCTTCCAGTACCAAGTCCGCCCGTTACTCGTCAAAATCAAACAAACAAAGGAAAGGGCAAGCAGCCAGCCGCCACCCTATCAGTCTCGTACTCTGCTGCCCAAGTCGCGGCCATAGAGCATCGGGTAGACCTTCTGGTCCATTGTCAGTATTTCTGGAGCAGAAGGATCGATGTACACGAGAGCTAACGAGGGCCAGATAGTAGGATACTCCGTCATTGCATTTAATCAAGCGGTGCAGAAGAAAATCGACCCGAAAACACATGTCAACATTTTGGACCCTCTGTTGTCCCAGATGCGAAAGCGGTCGGATATCGTTTATCTGAAGCGACTGACTATCGTCCTGGACGATGAAAGCGAGAAGGGATTTGGCTTGGCGAGTCCTTCATTTCGTCGCCATCCGGCTTACTCTGACCTTCGCCCAGACAAATAACAACCAGTCGCTAGTTGCACCCTATGATATCCTCGCGCTATCACCCACCACGGGCGGGAGCTTCACGCTCGCGTGCCTCACGCACACGCTCCCCTCCCCGCTCACCACGCACATCATCAGCCTTCCGCTCTCCCTCCCGCGCCTCCCCTTCCATCTAAAGCACACGGTCGTACGCACGGCCATCAAGAACGGCGCGGTCTTCGAAGTGAATTATGCTGGAGCGCTGGGCGTGGAGGACGGCGGGGAGGCGGGGAAGCGCAATTGGTGGGCGGGCGCGCGGGAGCTGGTGAGGGTGGTAAAGGGCAAGGGCGTCCTTGTGAGCGGCGGGGTCAGTAATGACTGGGATCTGCGGGCGCCTCGGGATGTGGGGAACTTGTGAGTTGTGCATGTCAGGCTATGGCGCTGTGTGGCTCCTGACCAAGCTGTCAAGGATCACGCTGCTTGGTTTGCCTCAAGACGTCGCACATCACGCCTCAACTACAATTCCGAAGTCACTGGTTCTCAGAGCGCGTAAGAAACGTATATTTCTCCGTAGATGCAGATTCTAATGTCTTGCCGTAGAGACGCGCCGGACATACCGTGCGATCCTCTCGGAGCCAAAAATTGTGATACCCGAAAGCGCAACCGGACAAACCGAAGCCGCCTTCACCTCAGAGACAGGGAGTCAGGTGGACGTTGTGCAAGCATCTTGTATCCAGGCAACGTCAGAACCTGTCAAAGGTCAGGACCAGCTGCCCATCTCTACAGGGCCAACCGCAGCTGGGAATGGTAAGAAACGCCCCCTGGAGCTCGACGACAAGGTAGTTCCGCTATCGGCGGAGGGAGACGCATCAGAGAGGAAGAAAAAGAAAAAGCGGAAGAATAAGGATAATGGCGGGGTTACGAGCTGAGTGGTTGCGCTCCCTACATGTATTGTGTACTCAACTTGGAGTTGCGTTTCAATATGGTAATGGTCGAATGTATACGGGCCTGGCACTTTGAATGGCCACTACCTCTTTCCGGCTCGGATAGGAACGGACATCGGCCAATATTTCCACGAGATTTAAGGTGGTGTTTGTACAGACCCTGGCAGAACTGACGCTTCATTCGCGACAGGCAGTGTGGCGATCTCTTCCCCGATCCGGCCGAGCAGTAACTGCTCAATTATGGAGAATGGTTACAGTAGGGGGTCCCTCAATTCAACGCTTACAACTTGTAGTTGATAGTCGACAAGCCGTGCGCTAACCGCCTCTCTGCGGTCGCGCAGAGAATAATGGTTCGTGGCCGTCCAGTCGAATATGTACACGTTGGGCTACAATTGGCCTCGAAACGATTTCTAGGGGATCGTGAAATTGAAAGTTTTACCGATGCTGTCAATGGTTTAGAAACTCGCTCAAGAAGTCCAACTGGTATCTCGTGGATTCCAAGTGCCAAGTGATGTACCCGTCCCTCCATCCTCTCCATTGTCTGGCGACCTGCCTGTCTATCGCCTCGTCCACATCGTCATCCTCTTCGGCTTCCCCAGCTACACTGTTGTCGAAGTCGGCCAAGCGAAGTAAGACATCGACTCTGTGGAACGATTCCTTCACCTGATCACACAGGAGGTCTATGGTATCGTTCACGTCCCAGTCCGTCGTGCCCAAAAGAGTCTGCTGCCTTCGGATGGACTGCGTCAAGAGTTGGACCAGGTTAAACTCTTCGCCTTCCATCTCTTCTTTGTGGAAGGACAGCAGGTCGTTCATGATCTCCTATCGAGTAAATGGGAAGACCATTTGAGGATGTACCCCGTCACTGCGGTGTGAATGACGTACAATCGTGAACGCAATATCGGGTATAGCCTTGATATACCGCGTGAGTGGCAATTCCTGCGCCCGGTTCGCTTTGAAAATGGCGGCTGCATATGATTCAGCTATGGCAGTCTTCTGGCGAAGGAAATGTGGGCTGGCAATCGTCGGTAAGCCAGGCCTCCCATGTTCATCATGGGTTATCACGTACAATCTGACTGCTTCTGCTTCCAGTTTCATGGAGCTCAACCGGACTTCTTTTGCGTGGTTCAGGCTTGCTTCACCTCCCTTCCGATGTTCCACCAGACGGTTATATCCCGTATCGAACGGGCTCGCTCGTAACTCCTCGTCGACCGTTACTATCCTTTTCTCTAGCAACGCAGCGTCCACATACGCGATCCAGGGTGCGACACCTATGTTACGCAACACGGCGTCTTTCTCATAGTAATCCGACATCTCCCGGATACACTCTTCGTAGATAGGAAGGATAGTGCCGGAAGGTTGAGACTGCCCGACGTACATCCTGTGCGAGAAGAGCGCCATGTGCTCGTACATGGCCTCGTCCTCCAAGGAATCGTCGATCGCTATGGCGAGCACGGTGAGCTTAGACATGATCATGAGGAGTTCTCTGTCCCCGAGAGGGTATGCTCGTATGTTGACTTGGCTGCCCTGGTCTTCCAGAGCGGCAAGTTTCCTCTGATCCCAATGGAGAGCGGGTTGGACTTTCGTCACCATCCACTCATGCAGGGCGTTGTCGAAGTCGGGATCGGGAGTGGCTGGTGGGTCGTAGCGGTAGCCGATCTGGTGAAGCAGTTGGCGAACTCGGACCTTGTGGTCGATGGAAGTCTTGTCGACTGACTTCTCCGGAGAATAATTGAGAGTTGTCGCGTTGCGCGTAGCCTTCAACTTGGGTACAGCCATCCGACGTACTTCAAGGTCGATCTGGGCGGGTCTCATGCTGCCTAGGTGCCTCTGTGAACTCTGAGGAGTGCTGGGCTGGAGGCGATGGGATGCTGATGATTACTAGGGCTGTTCAAGGGTACCTCTTATACCTATGAGCTCCCCATCTAAACTTTTTCCTGCTCTTACGAAGCAGACAGGCCGTCGGATCTGTTTAACCCAGGGAACTGCGTTCTCATATCAGTTCTACATAGTGACGCGTTGACAGGTATGTTCTATATATGCTAAGGACAGCGTTAAGATAACCTAACGCCGGCCTGCGAATTCAAGATGGCCGTTGGTATTACGTGAAGTGGCAATCCCAGCATTCAGGAAAGGTGGGTAATCCAGTTAATCGATTTTGGGTATTCCGATCTCCTCTTCCGGGGTTCTTGGTCTCTACGCTCCATGGGACAAAACTCCAGCATCGCATTCGGATATTTGACTTGTCAATAATACGGAGATAACATAAGAGGATATCATCCGGCTACAGGCTGATCCCGTGTCATGCGGCCCTCGCCCAGGGGCCATAGAAGTAGCAAGAGATTCACAAGTAAGGTGCGTCATGAGCGGGTGTTTAGCACGAGTAGTCCTACGTCCTATTGCTTAACGCTTATGAGAGACATCAACAGGGGAATGCGATTTCATTGAGCTAGCTGTAAGCGTTTACGGCCCTTCTGCATAAGGCTCCGAGCAATTGGCGTATCCGCGTGCGAATACTCATGAAGATTTGGTCGGAAATGAAACCGTACGGTGTCACCGCTTCTGTCATTGGTCGGTGTAGAGACTGATATGGACGTACGGGAGAATGCAGGTCCGACCGTAGCTGAGAATCGTTAAAGGAGCCTAGAAGACAAGGCCGCAACGTCACGAACGAAGCGAAGATTAAGAGGCAAAATAAAGCGGAAGGAAAGAACAACCGGGGAATCTACGAGCTGAGTGTTGTCAGTCTGTCGAGATTTCTGCATTCAAATCGACGGCCCTCTGTCGTGTCCGTGTCCGATACTAGAGGTTATCGTCTACGATCTCAGTAGCTTTGCGCCGTACATGACCGGCGAAAGCAGAGAACACAAGGAACGAGGAGCTCCTCCCATACTGTCAGGGCTCTCTTGAGAAGTCCAGCCATACATCCAGACTTCAAGTGCCTGGTGATGGATCCATCCTTAAAGCCTCTCCATTGTTTGGGAACCTGTCTATCACCTTGTCTACGTCTTTGGCCTCTCCGATTTCGCTGACTGTCTCGTAATCGAAGTCGTCCAAGCGAAGCAAGATACCGAATCTGTCCAACGCCTGACATGCTTGCACTGCAGCTCTATGGTATCGTCCGCTGTGCTGGCTGGCTGTGTATGAAGTTGTGTCGGATGCTCTTCCGCCTGATTTTCCTTGTGAAGATGCGAGGTCTTATCTACTCACCAATGGGAGGAGGAGCTCTACCATGTCAGCTCAGCGTGTGCTTTAAACTGGTATCTCTCATCTAAGCCCGTCGATAATATGATCGAGCCGCCCTATTCAAGTCCAGACCGGCCGCTAATGCATGTGCCCTCAAGTACAGAAGTTCTCAGTACATCAGTGTCCCAACGTCGTAGGCTATAATGGACCGTACAGGCTCTGACGGCTTCTTCTCGTCATTCAGTATTCCGATCTCCCTTCCCCGAGTTTCGCGGTCGCTTCGCTCTCTTGGAGGGAACTCCGAAACCTCGTACGAACCTGAACCTGGTTCCTTTTTCCATACGAAAGGTTGTAATGCGGCCCTTTTCCTCCTTCCCACGACCAATTGCCTGGACCATCCTGCCGCTTCCTCGCTATCGTTATGGGAATTCACCTAGGTTATCTAGGCTGCTGTGACTGCTTCAGGAACAGTTCCGAGCCTCGTCTCGTGCATGGCTCGGAGATTTGGAGTGCGCCTCCATGTCAAGTGATGAAGATTTGGGTTGGAAATGATCCGTACCTAGCGACTGCTGTTGCCGGCGCCCCACAGAGCTCATGAGAACTGTCTGAGGAATCAGGATTGCGTCATAACATTTTGGAATGGGGATGCAAGAGATCTCAAATAGAAAGCTCGGACATAGGCCAATCCCCAGGACCCAGGGTTCGGCGTCTAGTGTTGCTCCTGCAGTGAAGTCGCAGTGTCGCACAGTGGAGTTTTTGGCACTGCAACCCAAGTGAAGTGAAGTTGAAGGCGCTTCAACGTCTTCATTGAAGTGGTCAGATCAGCCTCGGGATATCCCGTAATATTCCCACGTACGCGTGGTGAAGGCACTGACTTGCCCTCGTAGGACGAACTCGGGGATATCTGCATATACATTGTACTCTAAAATACACGAATAATGCCCATACCATCTGCCAGGACGTATGATACCAAAAGTCGAGTCGAGACCTTGTCATATGGACTCCTGATGAATTTCTTGAGCCCAGTGCAGACTGCCAGCATATCATGGAGGTTATCTGCCACGGCCGTTCTATTGTTATCTCTGCACGGGGTATGACGCGGAGTAGATACGACTCTGCGACTCGGACACCACTTGGACGCAGGGCGAGCGTGTCTGGTGGCGCGCGCTGCCATTAACGGTCAGCACGTGGCCATGATTGATCAGACTTCAAAGGCAATTCATGACGACTGTGCAGTGGGTGAAGTACGTCAAACTTGAAGTGAAGTGAGACAGTCTGCAACGTCACCTCACTGCAGGAGCAACACTAGCTGCGGGTCCGCGGTAGCGAGCGACCAACTTTCGCAACAATGTCAACAGCTCAGTTTGATTATTCAACCCACGATTGTCTAGACAAGTGAGGTATCTATCTATGTATCTGGTACTACGAATGAGCGTGCGATGCGATTGAATTATGCTACATGGTCCATGTGGTAATTATGCCTGTCAGTGTCTATGTAGGTGTCCGAATCATAGCACAAATGAATCAAGAAACATTAGCCGTCGTGATCAATCAAAAGCAAAATCAAGTATTGTAGTCCGTTCACGCCAACAGCAGGCCACCCGCAGCGCCCCAGACCAACGCCAAAATTTGCACGCTGAATCCTCTACTGCGTGTAGCGTCGTTCTTATTAGAAGATGCCTTCCCTGTTGAACTGACAACGGCAGCAGGACTGCCAATGGTGGCACTGGGGGCTATCCCATCGACACCATTTTCACCCAGGGCCGTTGACGAGAGGCTGGCGAACCCGACTGACGGGGGCGAGTACCGGAAGGCTGTGTACACGTTTTTCTATCAAACACGTTACTTTCAGTACGAGAACCACGGAGCGCTCGAGGCATTGATATACTGACCAAGAATGCGTCACCGACGATCCAGCCAGGCGTGTTATCGCCGGTGTTAACCTCGAAGAACGCGCCTACGCATTGTGTCCCGCTAGAGTCAACCTGTGTGTGCTCAAAGTCGTCCGGCGAAATAGACCAGGACGGGCCGCCAAAAGATATCGACGATGACACAGAGGTGCTGCATGCTGGTCACGTAAGATCTTTCATGTCAGGCGTACTGCGGTTCTAAATATTGACACTTACGATAGAACCAGTACCCTTCCCAGCTTCCAGTCCCTGCCTGAGCGCCGTCGATGTTCGAGTACAGGCTTTGGACTAGGTCGGACGGGCCGCCAATGAGGGTCGTACCGGTATCAATTGCAGCGTATTGGTTCGATCCAGAGGTCGGTAAGCTGATACTCTTTCCCTGCACCGTGAGACCTGTAAAATTCCGGCGTCTTTTTTTTTGCTAGCTCGAAGAGAGGCAACATGACGCACTTGTGACGGGAAGAGTCCAGTACGCTACCTGGTCCGATGGCACATTCTGGTAATCAATAGAACCAGTGTACAAGGAGTCGTTGACGTAACCCATGGAGAACTGTCCTCCAGGTTCGAGCTCCTTCGCATGGGAATCATTACCAAACCTATTAGGCCAATTGTCAGTCATTGACGATTCGCCTATGTCACCCCGAAAATTACCTCGTCAAGAAGAATCCCATCACGCCGCTATCCCACTGGCCACTAGCCGCCAAGGTCTGCCAAACCGGTGTAGCCTTACTACTGGCTAGCGATTGCCAGGCAAGGCCCATCAAGCCGCTCAACGGGGAGCTGAGCACGCCATTCGCAGTGTCGCACACCCCGAACGTCTGATCGCTGACCTGGAAGCCAGCGACTTGGACGGTATCCTGTCCGAGCGTCCCGGTCGCCTGTCCCGAGGCGTACTGAATGGCAAACGGTGTCGTAAGATTTTTGAAGGTGGATGAGGATGCAGGATCGAATAGCGGAATGGAATTGGATGCCGCCGATGTAGGTCCACCGCCAGAACTGCTCGCGCAGCCGCTACAAGACGAAGAGGCGAGCCATAAATCTGACGAGCCTGTGTCCAGGATGACGTTGTAAGAGACAGCTGGTGTGCCGATTGCCACGGAGCCGTAGTAGCTGCATGGCACGGATGTCAAGATGGTTTAATTTGTGCAAATAAGAAAACTGCTCACTCGGAATCTGCATCCTGGTCCGTCAGGAGGTTCATGCCGCTGGCTCTCTTCGATTTGACCTGGCCATTGTACTTCTTCGTAACGTACTCGCGGTGCCGTACAGCCCACTCGTCCCATTCTGCTGCGCTTCTCTTGTGAACCGATCGTCTTGTCAGCGGTATTGTCGTGCCCTTGGACGGTGGCGCTGAGGGTGCAGGGGAACAGATCACCGCAGAAGTGGAAAGCAGGGACACAAGCAGAACGTTGGGGATGCAGGATCTCATGGCGAGGAAAAGTGGATGGTGGGCGTGAGCGTGAGTGTGTCGTATAATAAGGTATGGACACGGGTGATATCTGACTCCAACAGTCAAGCTGTGGGGCAATGATGCTGCGCTCTGACAACCCGGAACAAGTCCGGAAGAGCAAGGGAAAGAGAGGAACCAGGAAAGAGCAGACAAACACGCAACTCTTATGCAGGACTGCGGGAGGTGGAGATAAATAAACACGGGGACGGCCCTGCCTCAGCGCAGCTTCAGACCGCAGTTCTCCCTGTGCCGATCACTAAGCGCCCATGACGCGAAGTACTCGCGGGCGGCGGGATCGGCCTTCTGTTTTTATCGCGCTCGTGCCACCCGGGCCACGTGACCGTATTGCTCCTGCACAACAAACAAGAGACAGTAGAAAATGACTCAATGAGCCTCTAGTATGCCAGGTGATGGGTAGCATGGTCGGAGAAAATAAAATGTACTCACATGAGCTATCTGTTCCGGAACCGTGATTTTTATGCGGAAGAGCTCAACCTAGATCAAGACAGGACGCGGGTAGAGGACCCGGCCAGATGGTAGGCTCAGCAGCGCCAGAAGCCTGACCCTGTAAATCACAGCCTTCCGTAAAGAGACGCGGAGGATATACGTTTGTATAGATCTGCTTTCTAGAGTATAATTTCCCATCAGGGTTTCTTCAAATAAGAGCCTAGCAGTCTGGGTGGACCGTAGCCTACCAGTATCTCCTGCTACTCAGAGGACGTGGCAGAGGTCGAGAGAGGAGATAACCAGTAGAATCAGTTGTCCCTCTCTTATATATGGCTTGAAGAGAAGCATAAACAGGAATAAACAGCGCTAGCATATGTCGAAGTACGAAACAGGTTACTACTTTTGGCAGGAGGAACACCATATTGGGCTACCATCAGAGGTTCTGAGCATCGTCGGCTATTACACTTTCCATCGTCGTGTGAGATGCTTGACCTTAACCTAAGGACCGTTTCCTCTAGAAGGCAAGTAGTTCAGGAATCGTTAGAGCGGCCTCGTCCTTAAGCGGTTGAAGTTTTAATATCAGGGCCCGTATTGTCTAGCACTCGAGGGAAGTAGCAAACGCTACCGAAGTCACGCAGCAGAGGAGGAGATGGGATTGAAATTTGTACTCAGGAGGACGCGGGAGGCGCACGAGCTCGACACTAAGGAGGCTCATTGTGTATTTTTTGTCCCGGGGTAGGTAGGCAGGGTAACTGGCGTAGCAGTTGAAACTAGCCAAACATGTACAGATCACGCCGTCCAGACTGAGTACAAGATCACGGAGTCCTCTTAGGGTATACGGCCGACAGTTGAATGTAACAGGTCAACTACCGTACCCTTACATCTTGCTTGCCAATGAACTCCTCACACTAAGGACCTCCTCGCCGTGCTCCGCCCACCACCGGTTTACCTCTTCATCTGCATCATAACTGAATTGCACGACGTTCTTCGACTTGTCCGCCCACTGGTTTGCATTGCCCTCCAACGTCTCGCCGCTCGGCTCTTGTCCGAGCTCAATGCGCATTGCCTGCTTCATAGACTCATCGCGCACTTCCTGTTCAGGCCCATCGGGAAGGTGGAATATCTTCTGGTTCAGCCGTGCAGATGCTTGTGTAGCGGAAGCACGAGGCAGCCGTAAGGTTTCATATGCGTGGATGAGTTTCGGGACCTGGGCGGGGTTCTCCAGGCGAGAGAACAAGTTGCCCAAGACAGCACCGTCTTCAATCTGCGGATGCTGGGTCTGAGTAATTTGACAGACAAACTGTCTAAAGGGGAACACTTACCGCCATTGCCGCTCCTTGCGCGCGGTACGGCTAGACAAGGGTAAATCCATCAGCGTACACGCAGCGGTACGTCGCAACCTACAAGCATAGGATGGCACGCGTCCCCCAGTAATATCACCTTGTCATCTTGGTGAATCCACGTATCCAGCGGTGCGCGGTCCATCAACTTCCCCTTCAACGCCGTTTTTACAAGGCCGTAAAGTTTCTGCACTCTGGTCGGTAGATGGGGTAAGCTTTGCTGACATATAATCGTAGAAAGGCTGACCGGGGCTCCCAACCTGCGACCAGACCCCTCATCTGATCAGGATTACCTTCCGCCGTCCAGGATTCGGTCGACCCGTCGTCTGGGTAAGCCATTACCAAATTGTACTCCTTCTTCGCTCGCTATGGACGGAGAACAGGGAAATTCTAGGTACATGAGTGAGAGTTGAACGTGGGATCTCACAATGTTGTAAGCCATAATGTGCCTGCCCGGTCCCATCCACCCACACATCTCGGGTATATCAACGAGGCTTCTGAGCTGGGGATCCTTAATCATCTCATCCGTCGACACAATGGCCCGGTATACAGCATCGCCAGTAGGCACCGGTTTATCCGGTCCACCTATGACCACTTCTCTGACGAACGACTTGACCCCGTCTGCCCCGACGATGAGATCAGTCTTGATGACTTCACCCGATTCGAGAGTGAGGTTGGGTACCGAAGGGTCAATAGCGACAACTCGGGACTTGAGGCGGAGGCTCATGTGAGGAGATGCCAGGTCGAACAAGATCTTGTGAAAGTCGGCACGCTAATAAGGGCCACCCCCGGGTTCAATGATACATTGCTTGACATCAGTGCGACGAGTACATACGTGAATATGATAGTACGGGGCGCCGTGGTCCTCCTCTATCTTCTTTCCCCATCTTGTGTACGCGATCCTTTCACCGGTTTCCCCTTCGAACAGCATTGGTCAGAGCAGGCGTTAGCATGTTTTCTGTACGGAAACTCACATCGATGGAATGCGAGCGCTTCCGGCGTCACTACAACCTCCTCCAAGACTTGTCTAAGCCCCCACCGGAACAGTAACCTGTTAACATTCGGCGTAACTTGAATGCCGGCGCCAACCTCTCCAATCGCGTGCGCACTGTCTAATACCGTAATCTTATGCCCAGCTTGTCCCAGACAGTAAGCCGCCGCGAGTCCGCCCAATCCGCACCCTACGATGACGATGTCGAGGGGTACAGTAGCCTTGCGTCCATTATACAAGTCCGTCACCTGACGACGCAATCAGAGATAAGTGAGCAGCGCAGACAGAAGAAGAAGGCGTGCGAGATGCACCTCTGTCTTCTTCAGCGCGTCTTCCACCACGGACTTCGCAATCAGCTAGACATCCATGCATATTGTCAGAGGAACTTGAGTACACAAATGCAGGGCTCGTCGCTCACATTGTCAGACATCGTCGGTGCGGAGAGGACTGGCAGGGTCTATCTCCGCGGCAGAGACATCAGGTGTTATCGTCAGAGAAAATCCATGGATAAAGCGTTTTTGCATGAGAAGATATAACTGGATCGTACGGGTAGTACGGGTTCCAAAGTTAGTAAAGCGGCCGGCAGCGTCGAGCGGCGCAGGTGCTTTCATAGGCTGAGGAACATAACATACCCCGAGGCCATCACGTCGTGATCAGATGCAAATGACGTCCGACACGGTCGCATTTGCGAGGTTGATCAAGGGCCGCCTCTGAAGATCTGACCAATGACCACAGTACGGGCAATAGCCCCTATAATGTCTCTGGCTTGTGGGCGACGAACTCCTTTTTACAATAGAGCATATTCGGTGGAGGATATACCACTAATCCTTATTCTTGGAATAGTGAGCTGCTATTCCAAAGCTCAGACGCTGGGGACGGCAAAAGACCCGGTTTGGAGATGATGTCGTCGACATCTTGCCTTTTCTAGCCATAAGCGCTCATTTTGTCGCCTTTCTAGGCAACTTTCGTGGTGCAGTGGTGCCCGCCGTTTGCGGAGCGGACACCTTATTCCAAACCAAAGCTTAGTCTAGTCCTAAATTTCGCTGGTATTTCTTCCACCGAATATGCTCTAATGCAGCAGGCTCTCGATTAACTAATAATTGACCATACAAACCACGCAGTAGCTGCTAGTGTACCGCTATAGCAAGCTATCTCTGCAAGCTTCCATGACGTGAGTACGTGTATAAGGGTGCTTCCAGTGTCTTCCTTGGGATTATGATCTAGGAAAGCATGGGCGCCCCAGATGGGCTCGGAAGAGAGCCACGGATCCTTCAGCAGTTCCGTAGCGCTGGCGCGGTCGGAGGGCCGCAGAGCGATGCACCGCTGAATAAATGCTGTCGCAGTCTCCAGCTCTTTTGTATCCCGACTCATCTCGCGATTACACTCCTTCAGCACCTCTAGAATGGGCGATATCGAGCGCTTGTGGAGTAGCTCTTCTACTGGACCTGCATGACGGCGTCACGGCAGGCGGCCATGAAACCAAAGAGGAACTCACCATCGGGGCCGAAGTACCGTGCTACTTTCTCCTGATCGCAGTCATTAAGCATATCTGAAGGAATAGGTTCACCACTGCTTTGAATCATCGAAGCTAGCAAAGCAACGTCCCCGTCCTTTGTGTCCGAAGGGTCGGGCAACAGTGGCCGACCTGTCAGGAGCTCAAAGGTCTATTCACCATTGTAATTCGCAATGATCAATATACAGCAACATGGTCACCCACCAGCAGGCCAAGGGCATAGATATCTATTTTCTCGTCCCATGGGTGACCAAGTACGCCTTCGGGATTAGAAGATCCGCCGGACGGTGCATAGTCCGTTCTTCTACTGTCGAGAAATTGGGCTTCCGTAGAAGCACTGTCAGAAGGCAAGACAATCACGTTAGACAGAGCTTACCCTCGTCCAAATCGCCCAGCTTGAACAGCCAGCAGTATTCGCGGACCTGGAACTCGAGCAAACGGGACGGGGACAACAATGGTTGGCTGACAATCGGCCGTATAGTCTTCCCGAGTGACTCGATATTCACGGTCGGATAGTATTCCGGCTTCTCTTTCATCAAAAGCGTCTTGACTTGGAGCCCGTTATAGGGGTTTGTAATGAACAAGTTAGCTGGCCTGATATCTGAGGAAGCGTCAGCGTAAAGAAATAAAATGATTACATATAAAGCTAACCTGTGTGTACTATGCGGCATTCTTCGTGGAGATACTGCAGAGCTACCAACATCTGCCCAATGAGGGTCTTGATCATTGACAGGATCATTATCTTGTCTTTGTGCATAGTACGGAGCTGGTCGACGTCGCCCGCCATAACATCAAGAACAAGACACTGGTGAGGGCCGTCTTCATTGTCTCCTTCAATCAAAAATGAATCTAGAAGGTTCGTACAATACTCCTTGCCCTTGTGGCTTAACTCGGGGCGAGATATGTGCTGCAGTATCCGATGCTCGTCGGAAGTCTTGCCAAGCTGTTGTGTGGCATATTGGGTTAAGATCTTTATTGCTGTGAAAAATCGCTCCTTTGAGTTTCGAGCACCCCTAATTATATTATTGGGAAGGCTGAGCATCAATTAATGGACAGTAAATATCCTCGCATACCGCGTAGGCCGAGCTAACCAGACAGTGGAATATCTTCCATAGCCCAGTTTCCTGATGATCTTGTATTCTCCTTGATGTCCTATTTCGTCGCCAATCTCTATATCCAGATGTCCAAAGCCTTGGTCCGCAGGTATCCCGGCTGGCTCTTCGGGGAAACTGATTACCTCCGACCCTTTGGTTTTGTGGCGATGGTTACGGGACGAGGGCGAGGGGATCCACCGGGGAGCCTTGACTAGAGCCTGAGGTTCAGTGGTGCTGGCGGTGGCTACATACGGTAAGGCTGGTGACGCTCTTGTTGGAACACACTTGGTGGTCTGTAGCAAGATTTGTGGTTTCCGAGTAAAGGATTTCAGCTGAGGTAGCATCGGGACAGCGTAGTATATCTGCCGAGGTGACCGCGCAACATCGGCAGGTTGATGCCGTAAGGCTAGGACCAGTGAGTTGAGTCAGCCACTTTACGCGAATTCAAACTGAACCGTTCAAGACTTCAACCTGACTTCAACTTCAAGTGGGAGCCACTTGTGAGTTTGTCTTTGACGTCGATGACCCCTAGAGAGGCGGTCTCCGAATATACTTTGGATTTTGTATCCTGCCTTGCAAAGGAGCCAGAATATCACGTCGGGTAGCACGGTTCCGATATATGCCTCTCCTTGAAACAATCGTGGCTCCATCAGTCTTTATACTTTCGGTTGGCAGACTGGGTTCAGAAATGTTGCAAAACCCCTAGTGGCAAGTCCTTCTTCACTGTCAAGCTTAGCTGCGATTCACAGGAGGCATCTATATTTATCTCAGGAAGGGATAGCCGCTGAGCGCCATTCATACCGAGCGAGCCGGTCTGACGGGAAGGCCTCAGCTTGTGCCGTTCACTTTCATGAAGATGGAAACTTCGTGACTTATTTGAGGGACGAGTACCATTGGCCCTGCTAAATTTTTAGGTCAATACTGGGCGGATGCATACTTGGGCGAGCTAGCTCCGGTATTTGATATTTCATTGAATGGGGACGAACACTTATACTTAACTCATAAAGCCAAACCTTAGCGTCCCCTCACTTCTGAGGAATCTTCTTCGCTCGACCGCCACCTGAGAACCCCCGATTCAGGAATTGTAAGAAGAGGACCGCAAGGTGTCGACGTTTCGTCACAGAAGCACCGCTTCCAGATCATCGCCATTAGGAAGCCGCTGCAAGTCCACTCGACTTCATATGAGATCTCGGTATCCCCGTACTCCAAATATAAAGAACCTGCTTGGACATGCAATTGAATCTCTTAACCAATAGCGCTCCCTGGCTACTGACCGTTAGTGTCGGTGACTGCGACTCAAGCAAGAACTGATCGGCTTCATTGAGAACGAGATGTTCTAGAACAGGTACGTTTGGACTCAAGCAGGTGCCATGTAGCGCTGGCTGAGGCCAGTCAAGACAATACTACTACTATAGTGACCGACACAACGCTGAGGTCCACGATTGTTCACTGATCGCGGATGCGATCCTCGATCACGCTTATCCCCTGCTGATGCGGAGGTATAAAGCCTGTCGACAGTGCTCCAGTGACATACGCCAGTTGTCTCGGACAGCATCAGCAAGCCAACACTCGACAAAGTCTTTTAACCGCCGTATCTCGCGATCCAATGGTGTACAAATACCCCATCATCGACGTCGTGCGACCCGCCACAAAGACGGTGGGGCCTCTGTCGACTGACATTTCTTCCCGCAAAGAATCCTCCAATGCCGGCTCTTTCGATTACAAGGCTCGTATAAATCAATTCCTGCACGACATCGGCTACCGCTATGAGCCTACGCCATCGGCTGATCCCGAATTCCTCCTGCTTTTCCATGACTGGATAATCACGGAGGTACAACCCGTCTCAGGTCTAGACGAAAAGCGGATAGCTGCGATCGAAAACTGGGCCTCTAGTGTCCCCGTGTGGTGCTACCCGTATGCGGACCTGGAGCCTACGATGCTTATGAGCAAGTTGACAGCGCTCGCACTAATCATTGACGACTCCCTTCTAAACGACAACGCCGTTCATAAGCACATAGCGCTCTTCACGCACCGGTTGTACATGGGGGAACCCCAGCCTGCGGGGACTATACTTCCTCTTTACGAAGAGTGCATCCGGGCCTTGTCCACCTTCATCGGCGAGGACGGGGTGCTGAGAGGCATGGCCGTCACCCCTTGGATCACATACATGGAAGCAGCTTCGTTGGAGAAGCGGATTCAGGCATTCGACGAGGAGGTCCGCGCTAGCCCATTCGATGCTGGGTATGAGCGACTGGTAGAGTCGCGGCGCCGGTGCGGAGGTCACGGTTGCTGCAGCACCCCAGTCGAGTCTCTGGTATCCCGCCGAGGGCAGGGCGGTGTTGGGATCATAAAGCTGGGAGCGGATGCCATTGCCTTGTAAGCAGCCTCCGATATGAGTCACTGTCGAGATGGCCGCTGACTGCTCCTGTAGCCCGCATTTCCTGCGGGAAAAGACTGGGGTCAATGAGTCGTACGCTGCCATCATATTCAAGGCAAGCCGTAAGCAAGAACTACCGTTGACGCGATATATTAAGGCAGTCCCGGACATCTCCTTCACTGTGGTACGTGATTTATGCCCGTCTATCGTGGCGCCCATTCACTGTGTTCCTGTGCTATGCTATGACAGGCGGTCGTAAATGATATATTATCGTTTCACAAAGAGGAGCTGCAGGGGGAAACCATCAATCTGGTGCACCTCTTGACCCAATGTCTTGCCCCGACTCAGAAGCTTTCTGGCCAAAAATGGGATGTGAACGACACCCTCGAGCTCTTATGTGAGCAGCTTAAGAATGCCTTCTTGAGAATCGATTCTCTGCTTCGCTTGGAGGAGTTTGATGGAGTAGTCACAGGTGACGAAGGGTTGAATGAAAATGCAGACAGGATTATGGATATGCAGATAGCGAAACAGTGGAGGGCGTGGAGAGACGGGTACATTTCCTGGCATCTGGAGAGCGGGAGGTATCAGCTAGACTTCTTGGGATATGGTTGCGACTCGCAATAGCAGTATAGACATTTTGTGGGACGTACGGTCTCGTTGTGATTGCTCCATCATGTACTTAGTAGACGGATAACCGGACTGCAATGCCATACGCGCGCGGCCACAAAGTGGCTTTGACACAAACGCGTGGACGACGGCAATTCCCGTTTCTCCACTTAGACACAAACTCCTAAAATGTTGCCACCCTTCCTCTTCCGCTCTCTCACCTAGACTTCTGTACGACCATGGCTACGAATCTCCTCTCTTTGCTGCTATCGTTATGTCTTTCTGCTTCATGTACTGCTAACGCTGCGAGAGGAGCGCCACCAACGCCACTCTCGCGCAGGGACTCGACCGGATACGTCAATCCGGTTACCAACGGGGGTAGCATGTTAACGGTGAGGATTCTCGCTGTAATCAACATGCTTGCTCCTTGTCTGACGTTGATGTGCGCAGAATGCGCCGAACACATACCCGGCCGGATTGGGAGAGCCTCTGAACGCTATCATTTCCGGTAACTCAGACTCGGACGTATTGAGTTTGACGGGCGATAGCGGATTGAATAATTACTTCTTGTACGTCAGCGAGAATCTATATGGTCAATCCACGTCTCTAATAGGTTGGACACGTAGATCTATTGGCTTCGGTACGGAATGCTTAGGCATTCACGAAGGAGATGCTCAGACAGCAAACCTTGGGGATGGCAAAGGGACTGGTACGTTTTGGCTTACTGTTGTATCCTTACGTATGTTCATCGGCGGACACAGTTAATGAGACTGCTGAGATCCGTTGGGATTACTACAATCCTGGTCTTGGTACTTGTACTGAGACTCAGCAGGGAGGAAATCACTTCAGGTATTGGGTGCAGAATGGGACGAACGTCAATACGTATGTGAACTCATGCCGCTTACAACGACGCGTTCCTAACTTAGGTGTTGCATTGTAGTGGTGCTATTTTCATGGCGGTTAGTTATGAGCTCCCCTTAGCACGTGCGTGTCCCCAAGGACGTCTATGCCCCTCGACTACTGATGCTGAGGGCTCTTTAGAGAATCACGACATCGTCCCCAATGGCTACAACCTAGGCCGAGATTGGCTGGTCGGCAATGCTACCTCCCGGAACATCACGACCTCAGATTACTCTACCTCCGGTGGTACCCAGTTCTCAGGCTCCACGTCTTACAACGGGTGGACGTACCAGACGACGGCGACGTATACCACAGGCTTGCTGAACGCGACCAGCGATGGAATCAACCATTACGCAACCGTCGCAGTGAATGGACAACCCGCCATCGATGGGTTGGTAGCCGTGCTAGAAGTGAAAGTGACGCAGAAGGGCAGCGGGAGTTCCTCTAGGTACGCTGCCTCAATATTCGCCCCTATCATCGTAGGTACTGAGATTCTGATAATAATAGCAGCAACAAGACTTCTGCTGCGCCATCACTCGTGTACTCTCCGATACAATATCTCACGTTGGCCTTGGTGGCCCCGATCATTGCATTCTTCGCGCTTTACGCGGCGCTGTAGATGAGGCCCGCTGGTTCGGACATTGAGTGTGATATAGACTGCCTGTAGACTAGATGCCGATGACGGACATTGCAGTATTCGTCACTAACTCTGTAGCTAACGGACCTGGATACTTTACAAGATACCTGAGAGTTGGACTCTTGTGGTTCAATTTTGCTTTGAGTTTGCTTGCACGGCTGTATTTGATAGTAGAGTGCATGCCGCTGCCACATGCCACATTCCGAAACCAGAACTGCCTTGCCGTGCGCGCTATTTACCGGACATTCTTACTTTCACCATCACCGGACTCGCTGCCTTCGACTAGCTTCGACTTCGCCGCCACTACCCAGATGGCGATCATGATTTCTCTGGGGCTCTGCGTATCTATACCGACCAGCTCATTCGCCGACACAGCTTCTGCTGCAGGAAGCTCGCTAAGTCTATCGGATGCCAGAGATCTTACATGTGTACAGGCTGCTGGCCATGCTTGACGGCGACAAACGGTGCACTCATCTGGGCTGAGATCCATGCCTATTGACCATGGTCGTGGATCGTCAGTCCAGGTGAGTAGATCTGTTGCGTCATTTCGAGACCTCTACCAGCTTGCAGCCCGCGTCTACCTCGCCGAATCGACGCTGTAGCCGTAGCTCCCTAAAACTGTTAGCATCAATAGATTCAACACTCCACGCGACTTGCAAGGCCGCTTCTCTAGAAGCCATTTGAATTTGCGGACTTTCTTTGGATGCATTCATGGCCGTTTGCTTGCTAGAAACGAGTCCATTGCATACCGCATTATATGCCGGACGGACTTCTCGGCACTAGCTAGCGGTGTATAAATTCATGAGTGCCCGCCTTATGTTCTCCATACCTCACATACGTTGCTGAAGCCGGAAGACCTGCCATGTTCACTCGTTTCTCCTCCCTCTCCCTCCTCGCAGGTCTCGCGAGCGTCTGCATCGCCACCCCGGCGTCTAGCGCCGCGCATCTCGTGCAACGTGACCTCCCACCGGGGCTCCCCGATGCGTGCTACTGCAGCGGGCCAGGCTGCCAATACGGGATCATCAGTCAACCGTACAATGTCACGACCTCGAAGATCTACGCCCCTGACGGTACCGAACAGAAGAACACAGCTTCCCCTGGCGATACGGTACGTGTTGCTGGTTAGTACAATATCTTGTATCTGACGCACTGTATATCGGGTGGTAGGTGGTATTCTCGTGGGAGCCTCTGCCGTGCTTTCCCAATAACACGCTGGCAGTTGGAATTGTGGCGCAGGGTTCCAAGGTCGGCTCGCTTTATTCCGCGGACAACGGCCTCGCCGGACCTGTCCTCTTCAACCTCGGCGGACGGAACGAATCTGCCAATGGGACATACGTGTTCAATGGTATTGGGATGACCCAGGGAGGCCAATACCGTAAGTGTGGCCTGGTATAAGCGCAGTCATATTATTAACGGATAACATGTGCTCGCAGAGGCTACGCTCTTTAAATACAACACTACCACCGGAGCTGCGACCGGAATCATAGGCGTCGACTTCACCTGGGAGGCCTAGTGTGAGCTCTCTGTTGCCCTGCCCGTTCTATGAGGTCTCATTCGATCACGTCCAGTACCCTCACTAGAGCGCTCATACCCGGCTGTCGTTCAGTAGCTTCACTGACGGATATGATATTTGGATGCGACAAAGACAATCGGACTTTCACCAATCTTTGCCGTAGTGTTTCCGCGTGTGCTTCAGTATTTGCTCTAATTCTAATGCACCTGATTATTCTAATGCATCTGATTATACCATGGACTTCGGTTATGCAGGATGCGCTGAATCAACACTAGGCCGACTCTGGTGCTTGAATCGACAGTCAGATTGGCTTGCTTGCGATACTGTACATTGCGCTCTTTAGACTTCTGCGTGTATCCTACTAGCTAACCGTCAATTCTACCCCTTCCTAAAACCCTTGCATGAGGGTGGTTAATGAACGTCGCTCAGTTCCCGGTCTCCGCTATAGAAGAAGTCCAGTCAACATCATCTTCACAGCGACGAAGCAACGAAGAAAACATACCAAAACCCTGGCCCTGTGCTTGCAGCTTCCTCTTGTCCTCGTCCTGCTTCTCCGACCTCTGCCCAAAATCTTGGTCTAGAGGTTCAATTTGAGTCCTGCCTACATGAGCGGGTAGCTTGTCGGAATTGTGAAGAGCTTCGCGCTCCTGGTGGGTACGCTGAGCGGGGACGGAGGTGTCGACAGCGGCAGGGTTGGTTGATCCCCTCAAGTCGAGGTTGGTCTCCGAGGGGTCGTTAGGCGTCGGGTTGACGCGAGAAGTGGCGGAGGCGACTTTCGTGGTAGCGTGCGACATGGTAATTAACTTGATTGTGATATGCGGTGAGTGGATAGGAGTGTTTGTACGATGTTTACAGGACGACTCTGCTGAAGTCTGAGTTAGTAGATGAGAGCGGTATATATAACCTGGAAGGAGAAGAGCTTTGCCGCTGGTAAAGTCATAGTGACATCAGTCAAAGGAACTCCCAGCTGACAGAACACCGGGATGGAAACTATCGATCACTCCTTATATCATAGCACCGCAGAGGTGCGCTTCCTCTCTGGGTCTTCACGGGCTTCCTCAGCGTGTTCTTGGTGCGTCTTATGTTGTTACTGGGGCAGAACCCACTACTTCTAGCAGATACGGTGTTGGTCTCATGCGGGGAAAAAGGACTGCTGGCTCACACACATTAGAATCCTCTGACTTCGGTGGGACCCGTTGGCGTCCTGCGGCGTTCGCTGTGGAAATTGCCATTTATAGGAAGGGAGATACCGAATTGGGCACTCGTATGACGTGGAGTGTATCGTCAAGTTTCGATAATATTCCTCAAGCTCGAGTTGCGGATTTATGTGGCGAAGTCGTGAAAGCTATGCGTATTATTACACTTGGTAGCACGTAGAGTACAGCGTATGTTACAATAATGGTACGATTATAGTACAATAACGACTCGGTGCGGCGTAGCGTTCGTATCTTACATGCTACGCTGCAGCAATGAAGCCAAACCCTGAGGGTCATTATACGCATACGTGCAAGAATAGACGAGCTCACAAGAGTAGTGCCTATGGCTCATTACATGTAAAAAGCATCATGGTGCGTTGATCCTGTCTCAGCTTCGACAAGGTTTTAGCAACTTCTATACCAGAGCAGGAAGGATGCTCACCGAAACCCTGAGAGAGCATCTGCAACTTTGCCTTGTCAGCATCCTGCCTGTCGGCACGACAAGGCTCCCTCTTCTTCTCTAGTGGCGCGATGTGTGCGCTGCCCAGGATCGCCGGGAGCATGTCAGCCGTGTGGACAATCTCGCGCTCCTTGTGAATTCGCTGCGCTTGCGGCGAGAAGTTCACAGCAAAGGGATTGGTGGAGTGCCAGGTGTTTATACACGTCTCGTCAGGCGAGGACGCATGCGGGTTAATGTGTGAGCGGGCGTGGCCCGGGTGGGCGGAGACGAAGGACAGTCGCCTCAGGCTAGCAGTATGTGAGTGTGTCATGAGCGGCAGTTGGTTGATTGAGTTTATTGTCAGACATCGTCTCAAGGACAGTATATATACCATAGACTCTGCGGCTCAACGACAGACCAAGAGTGAATGGCCAGAACATATAGAAGGGCCAGACCTAGGCTAGTCTCACAGATAGGCTTCAGCTGACCGCCCCTCGGGATAACGAATGGGCTAGCCAAAGCACTACAGGTCGTCTGAGTAGTGCAAGGTCATGACTAACGTCACTCTGGACATGTAGGCCCATGCATAAGAGTCCCAGCCCAACTCGACCGGCTACGGCTCTGGTTGGAAGAAGGCGAGATCCATGACCCTGAATCACGTAATATACAGGATGTCACATCCTTCCGAACCTAGTGAGCGTACCATTATACGCGATGCAACGCCTGGAGTGTCCGTACAATGCGGAATACGCTTGATGGGTCTGAGATGACGTACCTGGATCGGTGGTAAGCTCTATGAAGGGTGGGGACTGATGGACTTAGTTGATTGAGAGGGTAGACGTGGACGGCTGTCATATGAGATCGTGACATCCGAAGCGCGATGGGCCACATCCGAGTGAATTATAACGCGACAATGGAAACTCTTTGCTCTGACGCTCGGAATGCAAAACACGACCTACAGGGAGTCCCCTCAGGGAACTTAGTGCAGGTATACACACCCCGGTTTGCTTTGCGTCAATGGTGGTCGTCCCCTTCTTCATGTGCTAGAAGGCAGATCCTCCTTGTAGCCCGCCGTCCAAGCAAACTGGGTCAGAGAACTCGGTCTAGCGGTACCCCATGAACGGTAACACCTTAAAAGCTGAGAGGTGGAGGTGGAGCGGGGTGAGCCCGATTGCTGACTTGAGGTGTGGCGAATCCAAGGATGCTCGACATGATTGTATTGGCATTCCGGCATCCGGAGCCTTTGCGGTTGCGGCTGATCATTAGGACAGGCATAGCAGCTGTTCAAGTGGCTTCGACTACAACGAGAACGAAATATCTCGCGGAAAAAGTCGTGTGGCAAGGGTAGATGAGCGTTCGCTGTCGAACGATGCTGAAACATGGACGTAAGACGGCAAGACCAACGTAAAAACGCCAGACGCGGACGCACCCGGAACGCCACACTTCTCACGTCTTCCATCCTCTCCCCTCCCGCTGCTATCGCGCCGTCCAGCGAGCGTAAATCGCGAATATCCGCAAATATGTAGCCTGCAAGCGACCTAAGCCGAAATCCGAGCCATCGAGCCACGCAGAGCCAGGGAAAATCATAAACTTGAGAGTCGTCGCCATGATCATGTCCCCTCAGGCTACCAGTATCATTCGCGATCCAACAAGGAAGCGAGAAAGTCTTGCGAGGCAAAACGGAGGCCACGTAATCCTGAGGGCCGAAGGCTCGTTTACCCAGAGTATGTGGTTGTATCTGTGCTCGTCGTGCGTTGCCTCAACTGTTGGCGCCCACAACGCCAGCGCTTGGTAGCACAGCCACACGAAGGATTGTCGGTATGCGGGGGAGATTATGGGGACACACAGCTGTCTCTTCGTTGACAGTAGCTGAAAGAAAGGGAATGTGGTGATGGAGGAAGGAAGTAGATGCTCTCGACTTGGTTTGCCGTTATCAACCGCACAAGTGGCGAACATGCATACCGGGTCTCATGCTCTCGTCTGCAGAAGGATGGTAAGTCGTAAAGGGGCGGCAAGGAAGAAGAAGATGCAAGGATGGCATGGAATGTTCCGTTTCTGCAACGTAGGTCGAGACGGCGTTGAAGCTTGAGTACCCAACGGCAGTGGGGCTTGTCGCGGTGACGCCGTAGGGGGCGCAGAGGAGTGGAAGGTGCGTGGAAAGCTGAATGTCTAGGCGGCGAGTTCACGCTGAGAGGTAGTACCGCGCATATAGAGTGTAGGATAGGTGTTATACCAATGAACACAACCTGATTCAATTATCGTCTTCGTCGTCGCAGAGCTCGATCCCCCTGTTTTGAACCCTCGAAACATGGAAATAGAGTAAGTCAAAGCGCATGCATCAGGAATACCATGGAGCCGCTTGGACTCGAATAACTCGGACGGCCATCGAGGAAAGCCAGGCCAAATGGTGAGCGTACGCAAGTGCGTTCAAAACGCAACTACAGACGCAAAGCATGTATCGCCACTCATAACCACATGCATCCCAAAGATGGAAGTGCAAGACAAGAAAGGCTATCGATCAAGTATAGCCCACCTCGCCTGACCTCCACGCCGTACGGCCATCCCACTGTTCAGCGCTGTCAACACCTTGGGGGTCGAAGAGAGGCTTTACCGGGAACGACGGGAACGACCGCGGCGCGTCCGTGACAAATCGCGTCTCGCGTCGCGTTGTGTTGTTGTGCGTGACATCTTTTGTGGGCTTTGTCGTTATTTGCGTGCTTGCATGTCGCGGCGGAGTATAAATTCTCGCGACTCCCCGCTTTCTTTGATCCCGTCTTCTACTCGAACCATCATTACCTCTGACGTCGCCCTACTGTTGTCATGGCTGCAATGCCACTACCTGCTACCACCTTCGAGGTTACTTATACTATCCCAGGGCCTGAGTTATTCGTATCAGAACAAGAAGACACACGGCAGTATTGGGAGCCATCAAGTCCCGATATTCCCGGCAGGTTAGTTGAAAATCTCTTCTCATCCACTTGTCTTCGTACGACTTCTGTATCCTTGACGCGCTCTGACTGCGCACTTACCAGACTCGACGAATACAACAATGGTCTGGCTGGCAGTGATTTCGATATCGATCATGAAGAGCCGGATGAAGGCCTTCACCGCGACGCTATCGTCAATGGGGTCGCCCTTCGCGACATCAGTCCTTTATCATGTACTCCAGTGGACGATGGTGGGTATGACCATACGCATGGGAATTACGAAACCAACAAATTGGCAGATCCTCTGAACGAAAATGAAGGGAATCTTTCGAATGACTGCGATGGCCATGAGCGCAGGCTCGACGAGCATGGAGCAGATGAAACGGATTTGAAGGTTAGGTATAGTGACGAAGAGGATGAAGTTGAACGTGTTGAGATAGATCAGACCGGTATACGTTGATAGTTTTTGCGCTACTCGCTCTTCCTGACTTTGCGTCCATGATGTCTTTCCAGGGCCCTCTGTCGTGGAGCGGCCATCAAGGCGTGTCACGCGAAGCCAATTACTCCAGAAGCGCGCGAATAAAGGCGTCAATCCTGGTAGATACTTTTAACCATGGTGTTGCTTTCGGGTCTCACCTTCAGCTCTAGTTAATGTCGAGGAAGATCGCCACAACAGCGCAGCTCTAGGTATGCACTCGGTAGACGATAGATCAGACTCCCGCCTTACATATCCTGTTCTCTTTTCCGTTCTTCTTCAGGTACTCGTTATCGCGCCAGGGGCGTTCAGCAAGGAAGAGTCACCTCATCGAGAGAGCAGGCTCCGATCAGCAATGGCGGTAGGCACCGCACCCGTTATGCAACGTGCATAGACTCATGCATCCCCCCTGCAATAGGTGGAGCGCGTCAGAGAAAGAGGAAGTCTGCCCCCCGAGATGCGTCCGACACAGTTGAATCGGGAAACCACACCGACTTCTCTCGCATCTCCAAGCGACAGCGCCGAGGAGATGAGTCCACTCCCGAGACAGTGACTGCGGCGCCTTTGACGCAGGGCGATTCCTCGCAGAGGACTCTAGTCCGCTGCTTGTGGAACGGCTGCGGGACCTGGATGCCTCAGGATGAGGACGATATCGTAGCGCACTTTCAGCTGCACGTCCCGAAAGGAGACAAGAAGGATCTACTCCCGTGCCAATGGGAGCACGAATGCAACCCACACAAGGGGGAGACGGGCCACCGCCGAATCCAGCGTGGCAACATGGTCCGCCACCTGCTCGGCCATCCCGAAATTCAAAAGGTGCTCGTACACAAGTGCCCCCATTGTCCCAGCCGCTTCTCTCGGCGCGATCAGGTAATACGACACTGGGGAGTTGCGCCTGACTGTGCATCTAAGGAGGCGGAGGCGGAGGCGAAACAATCTGGGCGGAATTGATCTATGAGTAGTGTCAATATGGACTTGTGCTCTTTTGTGCTTGTATTGTGCTTTGTGTTGTATGTGCTGTCGCTGTACCGTGCTTGCTGTCTCTTGTCATTCGTCGTGCAATTCAATCGCTGGGTTTGAGATCCTGTTGTTCGGGCTGGCGCGACTCGCAACGCAGAGGGCAAACTTCGTTAATTGCGAAGTAACAGCAAATATGGAATACGAAGGCATCATAACCACCATGCCGTATGCTCAAGTAGTCCGGGGGCATCCGGCGTCATACGAATGGCCCTGAGGCTTGGCCATCATGAAACTCCGTACTCACTAATACTCATTGGGCTTCCCTACGCTTTCCATACCGTCCCGACTATCGTAGTCCCCTCATCACGAACGGGTAGCTGTCCGGCATCTGGATCCAGTGGATTATTGTACGTTCTATTGTCGCTAAGAACAGCCAACACACACACTGGACATGGAACGCGTAGAATGAATGAATAAGCAGCGAAAGCAGGAAAGAAACAAAGGTCATATAAGGAATGGAATGAAACTGAGAGAGTGCATATGACAAGCATCTCGAGGCGTGCATCCTTCCATGGCATGTATAGATAACCAAACTCGGGCATACGCCTCTGTTGTCGCTCTGGCGCGTACAACATGACGGAGCACGAAGGGACAGACATTTCTAGCCTTGAATAGGGGAGAAGTTCGATGTGGCAGAATTACCATCAATGCGATTACCATGAGGTCCGGAAGCAGGTGAAAGTCTATATGACAAGCTCAGTTGAGACCAGGGATCGTCGAACAGGTAGTCATCCGCTCGCGCGGTTCGACGACAAAAGAGTTAGGAGGAACACAATCGAAACGATCGTCTGTGACGCCGAATACATACGAAATTCTAGGTCAGACACAAATAAACGGAGTCTAACGCGCTGGTACCGTGCAACGTGTGAGATGGTAGAGCCGCTGCCGCAAACCGTCCTTGAAACGCGAACTGAACCCACTGCTCGAGTCATGCCGCGAGAGCGGCGCATTCGAAGTACGCTCTATACTTGCATGAGGGGAGTAGGCAAGACTCACGACCCTCGTTCGTGCGGTCATATACCTTATGATCCCCCGGAGTAGACCGAGGTACAGAGCGCAAGGCGAGGGCGTACATGCCTTGAAAGGGCAAAGACGTATCCAGATTGACCGTCGGGGCCTCTACAGGAGGAATCAGAACATCAGGTGAGATCGATCAGTAAAGTAGGGAAGAAGATGCAGCGAGGCGTATGTACATACGACGGTCTTGTATAGAAATGCGCTGATATGGAGGATTCAACCCTAGATGGGCACTTTGACATATAGCGACGCAATATAAGAGCACAAAAATCAGGTCGCGCCTCCCGGACCTTCGACGATGGCGCGCGTTCGGAGTCTAAGACGTGTCGGACGAGGATCAAACATCCAATCGTTCATTTTGCGAAGGCCGTCAGTAATCACTCCAGGGAACCGCAATGAGGTGATACAAGGCTGGACGAAGGGGGAGAGATGAATAAAAATCATAAATGGTTGTTCGCTATCGCTGCAACGTCTACGCAAGACTCGAGTTAGAATTACGACCCACGTAAGTAAAACGCTAGACGCGGACGCACCCGGAGCGCCACACTTCTCACGTCCTCTATCCTCTCCTCATCCCGCTCCTCATGCGCCTCTCGGCAGGCGTAAGTCGCCTGCATCGCTCTTCTGTTGTAAATTCTTATAAATCAGAACATAGATCCGAGCCATCGAGTCACAGAGCGCCACCTCAGGCGGAGCACGGCGGTGTGTTGTCAGCGGGAGCTGCGATGCTGGTCTAGCTATGAAGAGAATGAGTGTCACGAAACAGAATCCTCGTAGGATGGTCGAACGCCGAAAGTCCACGTGTGAGAGTAGGTGAGCATTGTCATGCTCGTCACCCGTTGCCTTGAACGTCGGCGCCCACAACGCTGGCAATGCTGGCAGCACAGCCACACTGCAAGAGCTTGGGTACGGTAAGGGAAAGCGAAATTTTTGGAATAGTCTCAGGGAGACCCACTGTTGCACTGATGACTTTGGGAACGGTGGTAGGTTAGCTGGAGATGGAATACTCAGCGACGCAAGTGGTGGACGCGCTTGTATCGCGTCTTCTCGTTGAGCAACAAGGGTAAGTGAGAGGTGGAGGGGATATGGAAGAGATGGTTCTTCATGAACTGCGATGGAGACATCATCGATGTCCGGTGTCTTGGAAATAGATAGGCGTCTCCAGGGAGGAAGAAGGAGAGTGGAAGGTGTGTAGTAATCTGCAAATCTAGGTGGCGATCGCACTGAGGATAGGAGCGACGCTGTAGCGTATATAGTAGAGATTATACCGCGAATCAATGCGATTTGAAACACATTTTGCAGTCTGTCGCCGCAAGTTCCTTCGGATATCGGTGCGACCTCATGAACCATGGAGAAATAACGCCTTCTGCAGCAATTACCGGAAGAAGAGTTGAAGATTCATGGGTCCAAGCGCACATAAATTCGTAAGATCTTGACCAATTTCTGTCTAGGATAACAGGTCGCAATGTCGAATCGAGACAACCAGCGTACCAAAGCGCGTTCAAAGCGTGATCGTCGACGCGAGTGCAAACGTTGCACCCCGACCGCGCTCGTTTCCATCCGATAGCAAAGGTGTGGTGTCTGTCAATGACGACACCTCCCTACCGGACCTTGAAAGCGGCGCATAAGCCCCGTTCTTCGATGCCGACAGCATCGTGGTAGGTGAGGAAGAGAGACGCGCCTGAAGAGGTCGGTGGCGTACCCGTGACAAGTCGCGTCTCGCGTCGCGTTGTTGTGTCCTGCGTGGCATCGATTGGCGCCTTTGTCGCTGTTTGCGTGTTCGTGTGTCCCGGCGGAGCATAAAATTCGCGCGCGAGTCCTCGCTTTCTTTCATCCCATCTTCTACTTGAACTATCATCACCCTCTATCACTTCCTATTCCCACACGTCTCTTTCTACTATCATGGCTTCAGCTGTACTGCCACTCGCTGCATCCACCGTGCCACCTCTCTCAGAAGCTACCGTCTTCCCCTTTACCTTCGCCTCCTCACGGCCAATGGCTCAGGGTGCCTGGGCCGTATCAACAAGGTGAGTAGAATGGCACATCATCACATCCCCTATGTTTGCTTCACGCACTCTGTATTTACTCTTATTCGATCGATATTGCGATAGGCAGGAGGCTGGCGTGTGTGCCATGAGTTATTCAGAGCAGGAGTCTCACGACCAACTTCATCGAGATGCGCTTGCCAATGGTGTTGCCCTTCGCGACATCACCCCCTCCCTCTCCAACAGTCCGGAATTGGACGACGGTTAGTATGACCATGCGTATGGTAGCATTGTATTGAACATAATGACAGGGGATATGGATGACGACGATGAAGGGAGCCTTTCGGATGACGACTATGAAGGGAACCTGTCGGACAATTGCGATGGCCGTGATGCGCGCAGGCTCGACGACGGCGATGAAGTAAATGAATCGGATCTGGACGATGGGACCAGTGACGAAGAGGACGGAGTTGATCACGAAGAAACAGATCAGACTGGTATACATCAATTGTTTTGGCGCTACTTCCTCTTCCTGACTTTGCGTCCATGGTGTCTCTCCAGAGTTCTCCGTCGTGGAACGGCCATCAAGGCGTGTCACGCGAAAGAAATCTTTCCAGAAGCGCGCGAACAAAGGTGCCAATCCTGGTAGGCACTTTTGATCATGGTATCGCTTTCGGGTCTCACCTTCGGGTCTAGTCAATGTCGGAGAAGACCGCTACGACAGCGCAGCTCTAGGTATGCACGCCGTAAATCAAAGATGTGGCTCCTGGCTTACACCTCCTCTTCTCTTTACGTACCTTTCCAAGCTGGTACCCGTCATCATGCCAGGGACGTTCAACAAGGGAAAATTGCCCCTTCGACGGGGCAGGCTCCGATCAGCAATGATGGTAGGTACCGCAGCCGTTATGAGCGTGCATAGACTCATGCGTTCACGCTGCTATGATAGGCGGACCGCTCCGGAGAAAGCGGAAGGCCGAGTCCAACCTCGTCGCTAGCACTCGCAAGCGAACGCGGGGAGCGAATGAGTATGAATCTACTCCTGAAACAGGCGCGGTGATAACTTCAGCGGAGGGGGACGAAGGATCCTCAGAGTGCGCCCCCATCCCCTGTCTGTGGAAAGACTGCGGCGTTATCATGGAACCTACCACGAAGTCTATAAAGGGGCATCTCATATCTCACGTCCCCAGATGCGACTCGACGGAAAAGGTGACTTGTCAATGGGGTGCAGCGTGTGCCCCGTTCAAAGGCGAAACTGGCCATCGCAAGGTGCAGCGCCGCTCTTTTCTCAAGCACCTGCTAAGCCACGCAGAGATAAAAGCCGTTTTAAAACATCAGTGCCCGTTGTGTGGCTCGCCCTTCGCGCGCAAAGACGAAATCGCTCGTCATCAGCTGGCGAAGCCCAACTGTGCGTCTGGAGAACGGAAACGCAAGGACACGAAATGCAAGGGGAAGAAGAACGGGCGCAAGTGATCTTTATGAGTGGTGTCAATGTGGCTTTGTGCACTTTTGTGCTAGTACTTGTATTGTGCTTTGTGTTGTGTGTGCTCTCGCTGTACTGTGCTTGTTATATCTTATCATTCGTCGTGTAATTCAATCGCTGGGTTTGAGACCCTATTGCCTGGGCTGACGTGACTCGCGAGGAGCGAACTTCATTGATTGCTGAGTGTTGCCAAAAACGTAACCCCAAGGCATCATAGACTATACTGACGCATCCGTTCCCGAGGCATCCAGACGTACGAACTGCCCTGAGGCTTTCGCCCTGATGAAATTGCGTGCCGCTTGTCATAGCCCCCTCGTCACGGAGGGATAGTTATCCGGCGTCCTGGATTCAGTGAATTGATGGGTAATAAACCGTCACCAGGACCAGCCAAAACACACTACGAAACATAGAAATCAAAAAAGCATGTCAAGTCATACATCAAATGGAATGATTATTGGACAGTAACAAGCACATCTATAGGCTTACACCCTTCCGTCGACGTGTCAATGTACTAGATGGCCAGGCTGAGGCGCACACCTTCGTTGTCGCTGTGGTACTCCAGACATGACAGGAAATGGAACACCAGGTAGTACTCCTGGCGATACCTTAGTGGTACAAGCAAAATAAGCGTTTCGAAGCGGCAGAATGACCGCAACCGCCGATACCATAGGCTCCGGAAAGGAGCGAACGTTCTACGCGTCACTCACTTGAGGAGGGGTCATCGGACGACAACGCACTTGGAGGTACATGCCGGTCCAAATAATTGCCTTCTAAGCCAAACACGATATGTAAGTTAAAACCTCGTAGGGGCAGTCCTGACAAAGGACGTTCAAAGCGCTCATACAGTGTTAACGCGTGAGACCAACGCTACCATCACAAACAGACTTGAAACATGAGCAGACCTCAATGGAAGGATCGCGCAAATGACGCATACGGAGTACCCTCGATAGGTGAGACTCGCGACCCTCATTCGTGCGGTCATATACCCAGGAATCGACGGATGTGAAGTATGCGAGGCGGGGGGCGGGAGCGCACATATCTTGAAGAATTTACAACGTCTCCAGATCGGCTGTGCCCTCTAGGGCAGGGGGGGCAGAATATGGATGTGAAGATCGGTCAGTAAGACGGCGACAAAGAGACGGCGACAAAGAGACAGCGAAGAAGAGACGGCGAGACGACAGCGTCGTATGAAATACCCCAAGACAGAGTAGATAGGCACTCCAATAGATGCAGAAGCCATGTTTTGAGCACCAGGGATTGAGACAAGCCTCCAGGACCTTCGACGCGCACGATGGGCATGAACTGTTTGGAGATATGTCAAACGACGATTCAACGGGCAATCGTTCGTTTCGCATAAGCCGTCGGTAACCACTCCAGGGAATGGTAAGAGGGTGATCGAGCGATATCAGAAGCTGGACGAAGGTGAAAGATGGACAGCTGGAATAAATGGCTGTCGAGAACGAAGCTGGAATGTCTCTGAAAGATTCAAGTTAGTGCACGTAAAACACCAGACGCGGACGCACCCGGAGCGCCACACTTCTCACGTCCTCTATCCTCTCGTCCGCCCGCTCCTACTGCGCCTTTCGGGAGATGCAACTGGCCATCGCTCTTCTGCGAAATAATCTGAGAAAAAAATATCGCAGTCCGAGTCATCAAGCCGCAGAAAGCCATGCCAGGCACCACATTTGCGAAACCACGTCAGTAAGCTGACAGCGCGAGCTGCGATCCCGGTGATAAAGAGAGCAAGCTTCGCGAGTCAGGATCCTAGTACGAGGTCGATCGCCGGAGATCCATTTGCGAGAGTAAGTGGGTGAGCCTTGCGGTGCTCGCCGCTACTGCCTCAATCGTCGGAGCCCACAACGCCGGCGATGCTGGAGGCACAGCCACAGTGGAAGAGCAGAGACACGAAAAGGAAAAATGCAGAAAAAAATGGGAAAGATCTCAGCGAAGTCCACTACTGCACAGATCAATTGGTTCATGGTGATAGGTCAGCTGGAGGTGCAATCCTCAGCATCATAACCGATGGATGCGCTTGTTTCGTGCCTTGTCGTTGAGCAACCAGGGTAAGTGGGAGGTGGAGGGCGCAAGGGTATGTAAGGAAGATATGGAAGAAATAGTTTTTTCATGAGCTGAAGTAGAGACGCCATCTATGCTCTTGGGTCTATCGGGAAGAGGTAGGCACCATAAGGCGGACGGAGAGTGGAAGGTGTGTGGTAATCTGCAAGTCTAGGTGGCGATCACACTGAGGAGGGCGACTGTAGGGTATAGTATAGAGGCTATACCGCGAATCAATGCAACTTGAATCATGTTCCGCACTTTGTCGTCGCAAGTCCGGTCCCTCGGATTTCAAGGCGAGTCCCTGAATCATGGAGAAACAACGCGTCGACGGTTTCTGCAGGCATTGCCGGAAATGTTGAAGATTAGTGCGTCAAAGCGCATCAGTCCGTAAGATCTAGAGCGGCTTTGTCTGGAATAATAGGGCGCAATGTAGACGCAAGACAGCAAGGGTGCCAAAGCGCGTTCAAAGTGCGATCGTCGATGCGGGAGCACACATCGTGGCCCGAAAGCGCCCCGATCCGATCCGATAGCAAGGGTGTGGTATCAGTCAGCGACAACCCATCCTACCTGACCTGGAAAGCAATGCGCAAATACCACTCTTCAATGCCGACAGCATCGTGGTAGATGAGGAAGAGAGGAACGTCGGTGGCGTACCCGTGACAAGTCGCGTCTCGCGACGCGTTGTTCTGTTTTGAGTGGCTCCGATTGGCGGATGTGTCGCTGTTTGCGCGTTGTTGATCCAGGCGGAGCATAAATTCGCGCGACTTCTCCCTTTCTTCCCCCTCGCTCTTTCTTCCCACTATCATCAGCTCTGATACTCTGCTCTAACCGCGTCGCCCCATCATTATGCAGGCTAAAATGCCTCCGACCTCCTTTGACTTCTCATGCTCACCCGAATCGCTCCGAAATCGTAGAGCGATAGTGTATCCGGATGGGTTCCGCGGGGAAGAACATCGTTCTCTACTCTCATATATAGATGAGTGTGAGGAAGTAGCTTCTGCGAGGTAAGAAGTTTGGTTTCGTTGCTGTACCCACTTCTGCAGAGTCCTCACACGCTGACTCTGTTCTCTAGGCGCCTCGCTTCGGGTGACGTCGTGGAGGAATCCGTGCTATCGCTAAGGTTAATAGGGGAGGTCGAGAATGGTGCACGTTATCATGAGAAAGTTCCCCATCATTTAGGCACTCCGAGGTATGCAAGTTCATGAGGCTCGGATGCTATGCTTGCTCACGCACGCTATTAGTGTGCCGCCTCTATCGGCATGGCGTCTGAATGGATATCCACGATCTCTACAAGGTGTATACTATAATCAATCGGAGGGTAGGATGGAACCTGAGGAAATTGGAGACGAAACGCACCATCAAGCTCTAGTCCATGGAGTCAGCCTCCGCGATGTTACACCAGGACTTTCTCCGAGTCCCGATCCCTCTAGCGGTGAGTACAACAGTATACGATGGGACCATTAAGCTGACGAAAAGACAGAGGACGACGAGAGTCCTCGGGCGGCAGTCGACGATAGTTCAGAAGAGAGCGGAGATTCTGGAGATGAAGATGGTTGCGACGACGTCTGCGGGCAGGGGGTGGGGTCTAATAATGAACATGATGGTGACGACGACGAGGAGGGCGAGGATTCCGATGATGATTCACACGACAGGAGCTATGTGCCGAGCAATGCGCGTGGATCGAGAAGTTAGTGTGCCACCGAGTAGTCTTCATCCCCTCGTTTCTTACTGACCTCGCCGCTAGACCGGACTGTGCCGCCTGTGCGGTATGCCCTTCGCCGAGAGTCACGAGTCGTCGGCAGCGCAAATGATGCACCCGAGGTGGGAGAGGAGGTCAGGGACAATCGAAGTGAGTACTCGGGGAACTTGCTCATTCCATGCAATCAAATCTGACTGTGCATCATCTACGAAGTAGTCGAAGGCCAGAAGACAGGTGAGTTGATCATTGGCGAGGACACTTCTGATTTCTGACTGTCAATCTTTCTTCGATCGCACAGTCAACACCAGAAATCGGCGCCGAGCTACGCGTCGTGGTGCAGAGTCTGGCGTCGGTGAGGCTCGGAACGCGTGATGTATGCGATGTCATGTGCTAACTATTTTACAGGCACAGACAACGCCCAGCTGCAGCCTTCGCTTGGCAAGAGAAAGCGCGCGGCTGCGGATCGTCCAGAGGAGGTAGCTGCTGCCACCACAGCGGGACATGCACCCGGAGGTTCCCGTTCGACTTCGGTGGTAGGTCGTTCGGAAAGTCCACCACTCCGTGACCAGACTGTTGCTTGCCAATGGCAAGGCTGCGGCGAGGACGTCCAGGCAAACCACAAGGGTTTGAAAAAGCACCTTAAGGAGGCGCACGGGCTTGATCTACATGCGAATGACAAAGAACTGATAACGTGCTTGTGGCTCGGCTGCTACAAGGGCGAGGGTGGTGGTCCCGTTGAACTCCAGCGCATGAACCTCACGCGGCACATCCTCTCGCATCAGGAGTGCAAAGAAGTTAATGATTATTTTTGCGACTTGTGCAGCCAATCTTACAAGAGAGCCTCGCAAGTCACTCGTCACAAAAGGAATACCCATAAGGTGCTGTCTATGAAGCGCCGCAAAGCTGATGAGTCGGAGTAGTGGCAGTTTTGGTGCTCTGAAGTCGTGCTCATATCAATCTGTATCGTGGATCCGCGATTGTCTTGTGTTAGCTAATGTATCAGTAGGTAGTTTTCGTTTGCAGCATCTCGTCGCAATGGGATTGGCCTATGAACCTCGGAACGTATATTTCCCGTTTGTGTGTTCGACTCGAGTAGAGGCACTGGCACTTTGAACAGCACGGCATGATCAGGTTCACTGTCAGGCTTGGAATCCTTAAGATCTTGAGAAGGTGCAGTGAACGGACGGCATGGAGGGTTTATAGGGTGTTATTTATCTGCGCCGTATGCGTCGCAGCTTCTCATTAATATTGCGTAACCCGAACGCCGGGAGAGCTAGCTTCGAGATAGCCTCTCTCTGGAGACTCGTTAATTCGATGGGTATGACAATGGAGCCTGTCGGAGTGCCTATATGCTCTATTTGGGATTTGAGTCCGGGATGACACCAAAATCATGAGTTTATAACTACTCTTCTGTATCTCCAAAGAAAGAATGTACACATGGAGAGACACTGACTGCCATTTCCTCGGATCACCTGAGCTCAGGCTATTCTTCGGCTTACATCACTGCCATCCTGATCTGCAAGCTTGAGGGGCCAGGGAGAACCCTGAGGTCAGGCGACCATCCATTACCACCCCGCAAAGATCAGGCGGATACCTTTCCTTGCATTAACTGCCTCAAAAGCCCACCAGCACCAAGACGAGAAAGTGTAGCGCAGATCGCCTGGGCACTTCAGGATTACCAGTACAAATCCGATAACGATAACCACCGTGAAGATATCTCGTATAACTAGTGTATGCTCAATCAGTCCTGTCGAGAGGCAAAGCATGACAGGATGGAAGGCCGTGAGAAGTGAGAGATTCCGGGTCAGTCCGAAGTTCCTGCTTGAATGGTTGCACTCGTATCCCCGATAGTCCCCAGTGGCAGTGGTGTACTTATCAATGAACAGCGCTGGAACGCCGTTCCGAAGCGTTGAATCGACTTCGATGATAAGTTCACTGACTCACTCCGTCCTGTATCTTCCCGGGTCGTCTCACAACGCGGGACCGACAATCGACTATGACATCACAAACGTCTTCGAAATTAGTCAGGGGATTTATGGTTCATCCTCTCCCCATGGAATACTACTTGAAGAGGAAGAGATAAATAGGAACATTTTGGTGTTCTTATCTGCTCACCGTCCATCATGCCAGCAGTAGCACCCCCCAGCAAAGTCCTTGTCACCGGAGCGAACGGCTTCATTGCCATCTGGGTCGTGCGCCGTCTCCTCGAGAAAGGGTACGCAGTCCGAGGGACTGTGCGCTCAGAATCCAAGGCGGCGCACTTGAGGCAGCTCTTCAGTTCGTACGGCGACAAGCACGAGGTTGTGATCGTTGAAGACATTACCAAGGTACGCTCGAGCCGCACGAAGCGCTGCTCCAAGTAGTCTGACACACCGAACAGGAAGGGGCCTTCGACGAAGCTGTCAAGGGTGTAGACGCGATTGAGCACACAGCGTCACCATTCCATTTCAATTCCGAAGATCCGAATGGTACGCTCTCTTGCATTACCGCGTCCCAGTAGCATGACCGGCTGTCCCTGCAGATCTCATCGAGCCTGCGGTCAAAGGCACCACAGGAGTGCTGCAAAGTGCTCTGAAGTACGGGTGAGTGTGGTGCTCTGACCCTGAACCAAGATACTGACGCAGGATGCAGGAGCAATGTGAAGCGCGTGGTCGTGACGTCTTCGGTCGCCGCGGTCCTCACGCCCACTACCAATCCCACTGTGTTCACGGAGAAGGACTGGAACCAGCAAGCTATCAAAGACGTGGAAGAGATGGGTAAGGCTGCACCCCCAGCGAGCAAGTATCGTGCTAGTAAGACCCTAGCTGAGAAGGGTATGTACTAGGACGTTTGGAGTATTCCGCTAGTCTCTGAATTATCATAGCCGCTTGGGACTTTGTTGATAAGAACAAGGGATCCATTGGATGGGATCTCGTCGTACTTAACCCCCCTTATGTTAGTATATGTTTTACTAAAGCGGACATACTGACTGATCCTCCTTATCCCAGGTCTTTGGCGTAAGTCAAATCCATATGCTCAGGGTTGATGTTTGCTGATTATGCTCGTACACTTCCCACCTGAAGCCCATCATCCATGATGTACCAGGGCCGGACAAAATCAACACCTCGATGGCCGACTTCTACAATACATTGCTCAAAGGAGCCAAGGACGACAAGACGCTCGCCACCTTAGGTACGCGCTCTCTTTCCTCACTGTCAAAATACGGCTGAACTTAGTCGTGGACAGGGAGCTGCTGGATCGACGTCCGAGACCTCGCCCTTGCGCACATCTTAGCTATAGAGAAACAAGAGGCTGGCGGAAACCGCTTTCTCGTCTCTCAAGGCCCGTTCAAGTGGCAGGACTTCGGTGCGCCCTCTCCCCTCCCTGCACTGAATCTTACCGAAACTGATCACTTGCCGGCCATTTAGTTGATGCGGCTCACGAAGCAGGTGTGTACCCGGAGTCCGCTCTCCCCAAAGGCGTACCAGGCGCCGGGAAAGGACCCGATGTGACGCATTTGCTGAACTACGATACGAGTAAGGCGGCGAAGCTCCTGGGTATGGACAAGTATATAAGCATAGAGCAGTGTACCAAGGACTGCTTGGAGGACTTCAAGAAGAGGGGATGGTAGGCAGCGATCACGGAACACAAACACGTGCTGCTGGTATCCAGCAATGGAATAGTACAATGAGCTGTAACCAACGACGTGAGGCCTGCCAGTCCCCGACTCCCACGGTAGTTGGGAGGAGGGTTCTGTCGGGAAGAAATGGTCGCTCCACCATACAACTCGCTCTCGCCGTGAGAACCTCATGTAAGCAACGGTCCCGACCGGACCGACGCCACTTTCGTTTCGACTTGAAGACAACTGCCCGCACACACCTAACGTGAACGATCAAGTGATGCAAGTGCATAGCATTCGATAAAAGGATGCATTCAAACAAGTGAGGCCAATAGATGAGACTAGTATCTCTGAGCGGCAACTGGTAACTCGAGAAGCCCCTTTAAATACTGATGTAGATATAAGACAGGACTATATGAATACTGTGTATGTGTCTGTCAAGAGTGGCATTCCGCAGCTTGACCACACACTAGTAATGGAATACTTAATGGTTTCTGACTGGAGTCGGGGATTGGTGCTTGCGCCGCTACGATGTCTATGGTGAAGCATGGTGTTGCATCTCCAGGTCAATAGTCCTGGTACTTTTGG